AGATCTAATTTTGCCTGGAATGTGTGGCATTCTAGGACTAAGATGAAATTCCTGGGTTTAAGTGTTGTTTAGTGGATGGCAGCAATACTGGAAGTAGATTTGATTAAAGCTTCCTCCCTGGATCAGATACCAAAAGGCCTGGATTAATTTTTCATGGTAGAATTACTTTGAAGACTTGTTATTTTAGATTATTAGCTTTGATGCAGATGTTGTGTGTTCCCATGATGATTAGCATTTGAGTTCTTTCCTGAGGGAGTGAGAGGGCTGAAATCCTGTGTAGGGGTGCACGTCCCTGGGGAGGGGGCAGGATGTGTGTGCACACCTGTCCCAGGGCTCCTCTCACACACACACTTCTGCAGCTCAGGCTGAGGCACTTTTGAGAATTCAAAGCAAACATTTACATTCCAAGGCTCCTCTATATTTATGCTGGGCTTCCGGCTCCACTGTCAATATTTGGGAAGCTACTCTTGGTCAGTTCCTGTTGACTTTTACTGAAAAGCAGCTAGAGAAGCAGTAAATATTTTGTGCATGTGATAATACAGCTGGTCAGGGCAGAGGAATCTCTGAGGAACAGATCTTGTGATTTGGGGCACAGCCTGGTGTTTCATTGCTTGTTAGCCACAGCAGGTCCTAGAAGACTGCTCTTTCCAGTGTCAGGCTTGCAAGAAAGGCAGATTTTTGCCAGGGAGGAGCTGTCAGGAGTGTGCTAGGCAAACCACAGCTAGGAAGTGAGAGCTGCAGCACAGCCAGGCTGGACAGGGAGTCCTGGGAACAGTCCCAGCTCCTGGGCTGTGCTGGGAGAAGCACTCCCAGGACTGATGGACTGGGAGGAGCTGTGCCTTTTGGGGTTGTCACATCCCTGCCAGCCAGTGTGGGAAAGAATTGCAGGTCCAGCACAAATCCCTCTCCAGTGCTGGCTGGAGATGGGTGTAGCTGCTTTCCCAGGAACTTCAGGCTCCACAAGGGTGTAACCAGGAGCCTGTGGTGAACTTCAGAGAACCAAACTGTACTAAGCAGAGCAAAGAAGGAATGCTGAAGCCTGAGACACTGTCAGTGATGCTGTGCTGTCCCTGTGCTTGTCCCTGGGCTGTTACCCAGGGGGGAGCTCTGTGCCCACTGATGGGTGTTGCTTTGTTGCCCCGTGCCCTGCCCTGCAGCGAGAACCCTCTGCCCACTGTGGAGATCGCAATTCGCAACACGGGCGACGCTGACCAGTGGTGCCCTCTCCTGGAAACCCTCACAGACGCTGAGATGGAGAAGAAGATCAGAGACCAGGACAGAAACACAAGGTACTGCCACTGCTTTGGACACTTCCCTTGGCCTGTCCCTTGGACAGGAGCTCCAAGCTTTGATGTTTGTCTTTCCCTACTAAAGCTAACTGGCAGGATGTCAGCCTTGCTCACAACAGAAGCTTTAGCTTCAGGGCATTCAGCTGTCACCACAAACACTGAAATGTCTGCTCTACCATCTCCTGCTTGCAAAAAGTTTCCTTATTTTTTTAAACCCGTTTTTGTCTTTTCCTTGGGCTTTTTGCTTGTCCAGGGGAGTTGGTTGTATAGGAAGGCATGAATCAAACATATTGGAATTTCATGCACTGTCACGTTCCCGAGAATCCTGTCACAAAGCTTCCTTTTATGTAGTGTAAAGTTCAGTTTGATGTAGCAATGGGCAAGCTCCCAGCTCTAGCCTGAGTGATGCCCACCTGTTTGCCAGCACGGGGAGCACTGTGTGGTTCCAGGAGAAGCTCTGCCCACCAGAGACCTGCAAAGTGATGCTTGACAAGCAGTTGAGAGCTTGCACCTACTTGATGAACTTCTTCCTGGCAGATATGAAGGAATGGCTTGTATCTCTCCAAAAGATACATTGTGGAAACAGTAAATATACTGTCTCAGCTCTTTCTCAGGATGTTTTTTTAACTGCTGATTAACAGTAGCACAGTCATTTTGTGTATCAGCTGGGGCTGACTGAAGAGTTTACAGTAGCAGTCAGTTCAATCCAAGTTAATAAGAAAAAGTGCCCTAGCAGCTGTTAGTGAAAATAGTGTCCTTGCCTTATCACCAGGGGGCACTCTCAGGTGACTGGGGAGTTCTGTGCAGGAATAAACCTGTCTACAAAGCTGTGCAGCCTCCCCAGAAGCACTGGTTTTGGTCAGACTCCCCTGTCTGTAACATGCACTTACTGTACCTCTCTCTCTCCCTCAGGCGCATGAGACGTTTGGCCAATACTGCTCCAGCCTGGTAACCCTCCTGTTGTGACACTGGTGCTCTTCCTACAGACTTTATCCCTATTCCTCTCCCCAGATGGATCTAGAATTGGCAGGGGTCTTTCTGTCTCTGAAGGGGACACACATTCCACTTGCCACGAGTTCCCAGTACTGCTGACTTCTGCCCCCCCCTCCACCCCAGTGCCACATCCCAAGGGCGCTGAGCGAGCAGCGTGACCCAGCTGGGACCTGTGGCAGGTGCTGGAGCCCTTCTATACCTGTGTGTGGACAGTGGAAAGATTCTTTTGTATAGGTGCAATGTGCACTCCTAGGACAACTTTTTAAATAAAAGGAATGCATACAACGTAGGCTGAGTTCAGTCAGTTTGCATGAACAGTGAATGTCACCATGTTTTGTGCTGTTCTGGTAACTGAGAGTGCCAGGGCCTAATATTAATGCTTTTGGGTACTGTGCTGAACACTCACAGGCATTCACTTTTCTTGGGTGCTTTAATTCACAGGTACAACAGCACAAAAACCTTTTGGTACAGGGGAAAGTGAGGAGGAGATTTATAACTAGAAGCAGCAAACAATTCTCTAAGGATTGATCTGTTACCAGACTTGGCACAGTCTGTAATGACCTCAGGGGGGTTCAGCTGGTTTACTCAACAAGGTAAAACAGTTTAACTGAAATGACAGATTTGAGAGTCATTATGTCAGATGTCAGCCTGGTGTGTGGTCAGCCCTGTTTTTTGTGAAGACTGCATCTGGAAACAGCACAGGCTCTGCACTGGTACAGCAGGTAAAGCCTCCAGTCACTGAGACTGACGCTTCTCTGCAGCCAGTGCCTTTGCTGTGGTCACTGCCAGCACAAACACTGCCAGCTGCACTGCACAGAGCACTCAAAGCAAAGGGGGTGTTATGAATGCCCTTAGCACTGCAGTGTCAGGATTTTGCAAGCCAAGAAACAACCTGTCTTTCTCTAGGGAGTTTAAAACCAAAATCCATTGAAGTGAGATTTAAAAGAAAAATCCAAGCTTGCTTACAAACTAATTAGAATCTATCTTGCTGTTGAGGTACCCCATCTCTTTGATAGAGTTCCTACCATTCACTGCCAGAACTGATGAGTCTTGCAAGCAAGGCAGATTTTGCTGGCAGCCTGACAGTTATTTTCAGCTCTTTATGATAAAGCCATAGGTTTTATGATCCTTGCTGATCCAACCACCCTGCTAGCACAGTCAAAGAACATTTTCTGGTCTTAATTTATCATGTTTAGACTTGAGTAATAACAGAGACAGTTCTGATTCCTGGGTGGGAGGGAACTTTTTCCAGATGTTAGTCTGCAGAAACTGAAAACTTGCAATTTAGTAAGAATATTATTCAGTCTTATCCTAGGCTCCTGTGCCAGAGTGGTACTCCATGCATGACTTCATATTAGAGAGGTTGAAAGGTTATTTGAGCAAGGAAGACAAACCCTGGCTGGGATTGCTGCTGCATCTTAGCCTCCCATGTAAAACATGTTTTGGCTCATGGACATAAAAACTCTGAGCCTTCTTGAGAACACTTGAGCCTTCCTTTGTTATATGACTGGGGACTTCTGCCAGCAGCCTCTTCAGGGAATTTGACTAAAATAAGTGTGAAACTGCTGTAAATTAGCATCTGGGCTGCAGTTTTTTTAATTGCTTAGTGAAGTTAGTGATTACTAATCCCCAAGTTCACAATGAGGTGCAGGCACACAAGGACTGCAGCACCTCTCTGTTTCTCAAGGCCAGAGAGGTTGTACAAATTGTTCCTCAAAGCAGCAGGGACACAGCAGGACAGTCAAGGACCAAGTCCAGAAAGATGGGAACTTCAGCCAGCTTTCTTTATGTAGCATTAGGAACTACTGGGGAACAGCCAGGAGCAGCTTTCTTGCTCTGCAATCACAATTCCTTGGGTTAGTCTGGTACCCCACCTAAAAGCATAGTCCAACTGTTACATTTCAAAGCCCCATTTCAGGCAATTTAAACCAGAACATCTGAAGACTTCACAGACCAACCCCTTCTAGGACCTGAAAGCCCAGCTCTGTTATCATTACCCTCAGTGCCACTGTATCTACAGAACAAATTACCACTTGTACAGGCCTCTCAGCCTCTTTGCAGAGGGAAGGATAAGTGCAGCAAGAGCGTGTTCAAATCAGGTCTGATTTTTGATAAAGTGTTTTATTGGAAGACTACAGGGGAGGGGGAGTTGGTATGTGTGGGGGTTGTGTGTGTGCTCAAGCAGATGCTGGTTACTCCCATTTCATAGTTTGGTGGTGGTTGGCAGGTCTGAGCAGCCAGCACTGTTAGGAGTGAGCTGCTGTAAGATACCATGTGAGCAGACTCCTTTGAGGCTGGGTACAAGCAGTGGGTACTGTGCTAGCAAGAGTGATCAGATCCATTTCATACAGGTGGCAGGGCAGGGATGAGCTTGTTTCCTTTACCCCTGAAACTCAGATGTTTAAGTTTCAGAACTAAAAAATTCAACAAGAGTGGAATTACACTGCAGGTGCAGATAGTTTTTATTGCCAGTGTCAAGTGCTGCTTCCAGCCACTGCCTGGATCAAGTGTCCAGCTCATCCCCTTGTCCTTTCCCAGGCACCCCTTTATCCAGTTAGACATCCCCCACACTCCTCATGCTCTGCAGCCCTGCTGAGAGAAGAGGGAAAGGACATCTGCCAGCCTTGCCCACCAGAAAACAAAATCCCAAACCTGGCAGTTATGAGCAAATTCCTGATGAATTGCTGCCTCTGCCCCTGGCAGAAATGGACACACAACTGAAAAATAAAGACTTTAATGTAAAGACTCTTTGGAAACAACTACCAGAAAAGGAGTGGGGGACATAAAGGAAAGAAAGAGGCTGAGCTGCATTCTACCATGGTACAGAACTACTTCATTGAAAGCCCACAAAGAGGTCTCACAAGAGTGAGGGCCAGGTGCACCCTTGTACAGAGGGCAAGAGTGACCTGGCACACAGCAAGTCATTGACAGCAGAAGGAAGAACTGGTTTAACACCCCATTTGATAGTTATTCCACACCAGGGAACTGAGGAGCCAGCACAGCTTCAGCCCTGTCCCTAGAACACCTCTGTAAGCATTCAGGAGTTCCTGTGTGCAAAGCTCTGTGGATCCACTTTGTACAAGGGGAAGATGGGTTACCCACACAAACAGCGACACACTACACATCGGAATGGCAACTGCTGTTATTCCAGAAGGATCTCTGGGCCACAGCCAAAGTCCAGCCAGGAGGGAGGAGTCTGGCCACATGAAGAAGTCCCCCATGCTACTGTGGATGCTGCTGCTCGTGTTGGTCTTGGTCTCTAGGCAGGTGTTCTGGACGATCCTCAGGGAGAGGGTTGTAATTGGGATCCTCTTCAGGTGTGTCAAAAACCATCTTCCTGGCAAGGGACATGCCCATCCAGCAGGCAGGCAGGTTAGGAGACTGAGCTGAGGATGCCAAACCCCCAGCCCTCCTAGGAACACCCTGACCCTCTGTGGGGCTTGGCTGTCAGCCACAGCCACCAGCCCATTGCACCATCACCAACCATTCTTTTGCTCAGCTCAACACACAGTGATGACAGTGCCTCCTTCCTTATCACCAGGTCAGAGCTGACTGTCAGTGCACAAAGCAGAACAAATTCTGCTTTCTTAAACTATGAAAATACATCAGAAAAAAATCCTGCCTCCATCCAGCATTTCCACAAGCAGTAAGCAGACTCTAGTTCTACCAGCAAAGCTGCATGTAGCAGTTGCTGCTGCATGGGCCCTGTACAGGTGTATATAATGTGCAAATAATGCAGCAATCCATGACCTGTGTGTTGCAGTGTGATGGTATTTAATTGCAATACCTGTGGAGCTGAGGTGTTGGCAGCAGGCAGTTGCCTCTTATGGTCACAGTTTGCTCTGGAAGTGATCAGGATGGGAAAGCCCACAGTAAAGCCCAGAAAGAATCAACTTTACTTACAGAAAACTTGGGGTTAACAGCAGCTTCTTTCCTCCAGGCTGATTGGGGAAAACATCTTCCAAGAAATAATAGATATGACCCACTGCAATCCCTGGGGAGAGATGCCACCAAGGTCAGGCAAAACAGCAACTCCTTTGCCAGCTGAACCAGAGCTGCTGGGCCAAACTCTAAGAATCCCCCAGCTGTGCCCACATGCAGCTCCCTCCAGAGCCAGGGATGCTGCAGGCTGCTGTGATCAGCAGGCAGGGAGCCCATTAGCCTGAGGGCAGCATCACACACCCAGGAGACCACACACAGCAGTGTCAGAGCTCACCATACCCAGCTTCTACCACCACAGACACACACACACACACCAAAAAGCAGGTCACAAGCAAAAGCCCAGACCTGAGCCCAGCCACCCAGAAACCCAGGCAGCTCACTTAGGAAACCCAACATCTCAGGTCAGGTGGAACCAAGAGGAGGTGCCAGTGTCCCAGCAGCACCTCTGAGGACTGACCACTGGGGCTGCAAGGTGGCCTTATTGCCATCAGCCAGCAGCTCTGACTCACCCAGCAGATCAATGATGATGGAGTTGCCCAGGAGCAGAGAGAATCCCATCAGGACCCAGGGCAGGAAGGGGGCTTGGAAGTTAAGAAGCCCAAAGAAGTTCATGCGGATGTAAGGGTTCCTGCGACTCCACACGTACACCAGCATGATGGTGAAAGCCTGGCCCAGGAAAAACAGGCTGGCAAAGAGCCCAAAGAGCTGGGAACTACCGAGTCAAGGAAAAACCTCCCCACCCTGTGCACACCTCCAGGCAGCACAGCATGCTTTGGGACAGGAAAGCCAAACCAGAGACAGCTGCTCAGCATTCCCAGACATTGCCCAGGTCAGCAAGGCTTTCCTGGCTGAGATATACTGACCACCACTGTCCACACACATCTCTCTCCATGCCACCCCAGAACAAGTTCACATGCAGATTGCTCACTCCTTAAGCTGATGTCTACAACCACCAGAGACCAGAGAGCTCTATAGTCACCTTTGCAAAATGAACATCAAAAGGACCCTCAAAGAAGGGCTTTCACATTCTTACAGCACTTGGGACAGTGGCATGTCTTAACAGCTAGCTCACATCCAGTATCTGCCTTCTACAGAAGAAGTTCAGCAGTGAGATGGCTCTTGGAATTCACAGTCCTCTTCTTCAGAGCACAGAGGAGACAGAGAAAGGCAAAAATTTCCCCTGCCCTTGTTGTAGTTGGACTCCAAATCCACATCTAGCCAAGCACATGGCTGCTGCAGCCACCTGGATTCTAATGGCTCACACAGCTTCATGCAGAGCTCCATGGGGACAGCAGAGCTCTAAGCCATCTGCATAGGACAGCAGAAGATATTCAGAGAAGGTTTATGCTTGGGAGGGAAATAAATTTCACCATCAGATTACTGTGTTGTGAAAAGAACTTAAGAACTGTGTGATGGTACCTCCATTTACTGACATGCTGCAAGCTCTGGGCTCACATGTGCTGAGTATGTGGGAACCCACTCCTTGTCCTCATGGCTCCACGTTCTTGCCTTTGTCCTGAGCCAGCCTCATGCAGTCCCAGCCCTGCACTCACCAGAGCTCAGTCAGTGGCCCTGGCACAGCTGGACAGTTCCTGCAGCAGAACACGTGGCCTCCATTCAGGCTGAGCCTCCCGAGCACTCTGCCACGTGTCCTTCAGGGATGAGGCAGCCCAGCCCCTGCCAGGGGCTTCAGCACTTCTGCAGAAGCAGCACAACCTCAGGCAGCTTCCTCTCCTCCCAGCACGCTGGGTGAGGCACTGGCCAAGCCAAGGGTGGCAAAGATGGGGAGCACAAGCTGTGCCATAGAGCCAGAAGTGTCCCTGCAGCACCTGCTCAGCAGAGCTCTCCCAGCTCTCAGAGCACAGGCCTGGCAGGCCTGGGGCACCAAGAAGGTTCATGAAGCAGCTGTGCTGCTCAGCAGGCATTTGTGACAGCAATACTATTAATGACCAAGATGTGTGTCTACACACTCAACAGAGTATTTGCCACTTCGAAATTCATCCAGTCACTGATCAGAAATCTGTGCTCATATATACTGGTAAAGGTTGTGTGTGCCTGAGAACTGCTTGTACTGCTGTGAAAGTGATAACAATGATGTTATTTTGTCTAGCAGAAATCATTCTAATTTTTGTATTTGTAATTTTGTTAAGTGTGATTTTTCATACTTGGCCCCAGTGACATCCAGTTGATTAAAACCAATTACACAATGTATCACAGACTGTCACCTACTCCTATTGGGATGGACCTTACATTGGTAAAACAATTAATGAAGCACCAAGACCTACTCCACAGCACACCTGGACACACAGGTAGCAGGCAAGCCCTACACTAGCCACAGCATGTCAGAGACACCAAGGAGCCTCATCCAGCTCAAAAGGATACTGTCATGAGAAACCCTCCAAAGAGGAACATGAAGACAAAGTCAGCCGTCCTTCCACGGAAGGAGCCTTCTTCCAGCATGCGGCAGTACCTGTACCTGAGGGCAGGAGAGAAGGGAGGGGTTGCAGTATAGGAAATTAACAGCTGGCCACCCTATGCCCACGGCAGGACTGCCCAGCAACAAGCTGCTGCAAGCTCAGCCCAGAGCAGAACAGTGCAAACTTCACCTCACCCCACTGACCCCACGGACAGAGAGAGGCCCCTGCTGTGCTTCAGCCAGAGCTCACCCCCGGAATGGGCACTGTGCTCCAGCAAGAGCCACAGCAGCAGCACTGCCAGCTTCCCTCTAGGCAGGGTCTGCCCTGCAGCAAGCACAGATGGAGGGGCTTCAATTCAAAAGAGCCAAGGGAAGAACCCACAGCCTTAGAGTGCTGCCAAGGCAAGCCATGCTGGGGAGGAAGATGGATGGGGGGCATTGCATCTAAGCCAAAATGGGAGCAGAAAACTTCACTGAGACCAAAGGATACAGAAATATCATGTTGAAAAAGAAACTGAATCCCAGGGGCCCAAAAAAGAGGAAGTTGGTGATCAGCCTCCATATCTGAAAGAGAAGAGAGAGGAGAGAGAAAAGGAGGTGGACAGAGGTCTCTCCTCATCACACAGAGCAGCCCATCACACTGCCCACAGGAAATGAGTGCTCAGACATGCACCTGTCCCTTCAGAACTACCCCAGGACACCAGACAGCTGCTCCACCCTCCAGTGGGACCTCCTCACATGGTACTCTGGTACATCAGATTGTCTCACCTTTCCAGGCATGGAAAAGAAGATTTCTCTACTTTTCTAGAGAAGACAAACAGCCACAATTCAGCACCCAGAGCCAAATTAATTAATTTCCATGCCTCTCTACAATAAAGGCCTCCAACCAGCCCAACAGCAGCAGCCACACACGGTGTAACAGATGGGGTTTGAGTCAAGGGAAAGCCAAGGTGGTGTGTGGCAGGGAAAGGCTCGAAGGAGTTGTCCTCACGCAGGTGCCCGTGACGAAAAGGGGCGCAGTGTGGCTGGCCCGGCTCGCAGCGCTCAGGGAAGGCTGGAGCAGTGGGACAGGGGCCCCTGGGGATGACACAGCAGTGCCCGGCCCCCCAGCGGAGCGGGACACCCGGGGCCCCCGCGGGCACAGCCACCCCTCGCTGGCAGGGGCACAGCGGGCCCCACAGCCCGAGCGAGGCCTCACCTGGAACTTCCTGAAGATGAGGTCGGGGTTGAAGTACAGCTGGAAGGGGGTGATGAACTCCAGCTGCTGTGGGAGACAGGCAGAGCAGCTGCCATCACCCACTGCCCTCGGCCAGCCCCGGCCCCCGCCCCACGGCCCCCCGCCCCCCGGCGCGGCCCCCGCTCACCACGGCGGCGGTGGTGAGCACGCAGGCGGTGGTGTAGGCGCGGGTCACGGCCGGCATGCCCAGGTACTCCTGCGCGAAGCCCTGGTACGCCATGGTCGCGCCGCTCCGCCCGCCCGACGCGGCGCCTTTAACGCCCCCTCCCCGTTCCGCCGCACGCCCCGCCCCCGCGGGGAGCGCCCGGCCAATCCCCGCGCGACAGGCGGCGCCCGTCAGCCAATGGGAGAGCGCCTCATGGCCCCGGCCCGCGCCGCCGCCAACCCGGAGCGGCCCCGCCCCGCGGCAGCGGCAGCGCTGGGAGCGGGCGGGGCACGGGCGGCTGAGGGGCGGAGCACGGCGGGGCGCGGGCGGGGAACGAGCGGGGAACGGGCGACTGAGGGGCAGAGCACGGCGGAGCACTCGGGCTTAGGCGGCACGCCAGGCGCAGGGCTGTGCCCCGGGTCCTGGGACAGTGACATTGACCTGCCCGGCTGGAGAAGCGTCCGCCCGGTTCCTGCCGCGGCCGAGGGAGCCGCGGTGCGCTCAGCGGCGGCCGCGCAGTGTCCCCGAGAGGCGGGGGTTCTCAACGCGGTGTTCCCCTGCTGGCTCGGAGGGAGAGGAGCTCGCTGGGAGAAGGGCAGCGGTGCCGCTGCTCCAGCCCGGGTGTTTTGCCTCTTGCTTGGTTGATCAGAAGGGTCTTGTATTCACTAAGGCACGAAAGGCTTGGGGTTTTCAGTAATTCCTGCTGGGAGAGCATGCTCCTGATGGAGCAGTGAGGCGTTTCCCCAAGCTGTGCGAGATCGCTGGAAGAAACCCAGAGATGTGTCGATGTGTGGTGCCACCGGGTGCTGAGGGGACCCGGGGAACGGCAGCAGCGCTGCACGCAGCCCTCAGGAGGGAGCAGAGCCTGTGCTGGACCCTCAGGAGGGAGCAGAGCCTGTGCTGGGCCCTCAGGAGGAGCAGGGTCTGTGCTGGCCCGTCAGGAGGGAGCAGAGCCTGTGCTGGGCCCATCAGGAGGGAGCAGAGCCTGTGCTGGGCCCATCAGGAGGGAGCAGAGCCTGTGCTGGGCCCATCAGGAGGGAACAGAGGCTGTGCTGGGCTCTCAGGAGGAGCAGGGTCTGTGCTGGGCCCTCAGGAGGGAGCAGAGCCTGTGCTGGGCCCTCGGAAGGGAGCAGAGGCTGTGCTGGGCCCTCGGGAGGAGCAGGGTCTGTGCTGGGCTCTCAGGAGGGAGCAGGATCTGTGCTGGGCCCTTGGGAGGGAGCAGAGGCTGTGCTGGGCTTTCAGGAGGAACAGAGGCTGTGCTGGGCCCTCGAGAGGGAGCAGGGTCTGTGCTGGGCTCTCAGGAGGAGCAGAGGCTGTCTCAGCCCTCAGAAGAAAGCAGAGCCTGTCTCTGCCTGTGTGTCTCATGCAGACAGCACTCCTGAGAGCCACAGCTGATACACATCTCCAGGAACCCGGCATCCTCCACTCTCCTGCTGATTGTGCTTCCCAGACCTGTCTGCCCTGCGCAGCAGTCGGGTCTAATGTTACAGCAACCTTGGATTCAGATGAGGAACGGGCCTGGTGTTTCGTTTGTGCTGCAGAGGGTTAAGCTGTCATCAGAGCCTTAATGAGGCCTGAGAGTTCCCTTTAAACCCTCAGTTAATGGGAAATGAAATTACCGAGGGGGAAGGGAGTCTTTGTGTCCTCCACCACCTCCATCCTGACTGCCCTTTGATGAAATACAAAACCCAGATGGAAGATGGTGGGACACGAGGTTAAAGCAACATAATGGGGGAGAAAGGGGGGAACACAAGAGTCCAGTAGGGTTTGTCAGAGCAGAGAATGGGCTCCTGAGTGCCCTGGGCACTGGGGTGCTGAGAGCGCCTCTGATGGGGCTGGGGGAGAAGGAAGAGCTGCTTTAGGGATGCTGGGGACGGAGCTGAGTGAGGAACTTGCACCCCAAACTGCAGCAATGTCAATAGTCTTGGCCGTGTGGGCACAGGTTTTGGTGGGAGCTGGAATGGATGTGAGAGCTCTGGCAGTTGAGAAGAGCTGAGTTTGCAGGGAAATTCATCGAGCCAGGAGCTCTGCAAAGGGCTGTCCTTATTCATGTGGCTGTTTCAGCCCAAATGCTGCACTGCTGCAGCTCAGCTCTCCAGCATGCCACAGAGCTGCCAACCCAGCAGCAGAATGGGCAACTGAATTGAAGAACTGAGAGTCAATAAATGGATAAGTGTCCTGTTCCTTTGGGTGGGGAATTAGAGGTTTCCTATCTGCTCTTCCTGCTTATGCACACCAGACAGAAGCTGAATTCAAGCACCATGATTCCTGCCCCTTCCTTATTTGAACCAAGGCTGGGAGATGAATATTGGGAGCCTCTGTGCTACAAAGGAGGCCCTCACTAGCTCCACAGAGATGGGAATCCAAATAATCAATCCCACTCACTCTCTGTGAAAGACTATGTGCAAATTAGACATTGCATAAAAAGTAATAATCAGTTTCTCAATTTTTTTTCTTTTCCCTTCTTTTCTAGCCAAAACTCGAGTATTCCACTTGTCCAGGCTTCTACTTAAGGCCTCTTTCCTAAGGTTTATGGGGGAAGGGAGAGAAGTGATGAAATGCATTGGGAAGCTCAGCAGCTCCCACTGGGAGAGGCCAAACAAATCTCAGTGTCACCCTGAGTTCCCAGGCTGCTTTCTGCCCATGATCTCAGTCCCTTGGGAGCTCAGCCAAGCTGACTTCATGCACTACAGTGCACCCAGGGCAGCTTTAGTCTTTATTACAACCCGTGTCACATTTCATGGGTTTTTGGAGTTATGGCCTTCCACAAGTTCCCATAAGCACAGGCACATGTTTGGGTTCACACACACACACACACCCCTTCACAGTGATGCTGATATGTGGCCTTTTATAAAATCACAAAATCTAACTAAAAGCCTGAAAAAAACAACAAAGCCAAAGTCTTTGTCTCAGCTGCAAGAAGGGAAGAGGGACTGCCAGAAAAACACTGCCCAGGAGATTTTTCACTGATTTCCTGCTGCCTTGTCCTGCCCTGCCTGGGGACTCCAAGCAGATGTAGCACAGTGATGTGCCATTGCTTCCTGCCATCTGCTGGGCTCCCCTTCCTTTTGGGATCAGCTCAATTGCTGTCAATGTGCAGCATCAACTTCAAAACCCAAGATGTCAGAAATTCCAAGTTTCCACACAAATATGTGTGATGCTCAGACTTCAGTCCATTTTGGACAGGCTTTGAAAAAGGTTTTTGTCTGCATGCTCTTGGAGCAGCCAGAAGACCTAATCAGAAGGACTCCCAACTGTAACCTTTGCACAAGTCCTTCAAAGGAAGAACTGAAACATGATGGTGTCTGTTTGCCAGACAATATTCACCCATTGTGCATCTGCAGGCCCAGTGATAGTAACCTGCAGCATAAATTCAAGTTTCCCCTCTCAGTTTCTGCAAACCAAAACTGCAGGGTTAGAAAACAGAGAAAAATGCTATTAACTCTCCCCATGAGTTAAACAGCACATAAACCTCAAGAAGGCACATGAGCAAAGATAAATGGGCTGTTGCAGCGGTCATCTCTTTTGTTTGTAGTAAATTATTGTGTGTAATTCATGTTTCCTGTCCATAAATACCAGAGGAACTTGAAGACATGGAATCCATTCTAATTCAGTAAAGACAAAAACAACTCCTTTTGAGCCCATCTGGAACTTGTTTTTATCATAATTGTTTTGGGCTCGGTAACGAGTTCAAGATCTGACTGCCGTCTCTAATTGTTTCAAGGATAAACAGCTGCTTTGTTTAAAGGCAGCAGCTCCCATTTTGCCCAGCACAGCGGTCCCGGGCTCGCAGGATGAAAGGAGCTGTGCCGTGTCAGCACAGGCCCTAACGAGCACTGGCGCCCCTGGCAGGGCGCTCACCCCGCCCGCAGCTGATGGGGCAGGAAAACAGCCCCAGGCACGCACTTGTGAGTGTCCAGCCCTGCCTGCGCCCTCTGCTCTTCCACGGCATTGGCGTTTTGTTTGTAACTTCATCCGATGATGTTTTGTAACGTGTCCTGCTGTGACGAGTCATGCCTGGCCTGGTGATGCACAGGCATCTCCTCCAGCTGGGCTCTGGGGTTCTCAGGGACAGCATTCACTCCCTGGCCACATAACCCCACGACCTTGCTTGGGTAGTGCTCCATCCCCTGCTCACAGTCCCGGATCTTTCCTTCATCTGAAAACAGAGCTACCCCCACACCCACTGTGAGAGGCTCCCCCAGCAGGGTATGAGACCTGGTGTGTCTCAGAGCTGTTGTGTTCAAGGTCTCACCCACAGCGCTCCCCAGGACATGAGACCCCTGGTAGCCTTGGTGTAGAAGAGGTCTCCATGTGCCTGCTGCCCTGGCACCAGGAACAAGTGAGGCACACCAGCCAGGATCTTTCTGGAAGGTTATTTCAGCCCCCAAACTCAGTCCTTGGTGGCATGGACAAGAGGGGCCAAGAGATCCATGAACCCGCTGTGCATAGATAAGCTGTGTAATCATAACTGTTGAGGCACTTGAAATGTTTACTTTTCCATGTGTAATAGCCATATATAAATTTTTCCTCCTTCATTAAAGGATTTCTTGTTCCAAATCAGCTAACTCTGGAGTGTGATGGCTAAAGTCAGGAGAAAGTGAATCATACAGAATTGGATGGATTTTTAAGTTTGTTTGTTTGTTAGAAAGAAACTAAAGATAGCACTTAGAGTTCAGCCCTCCAAGGACATGTGGTTTGCACAGGGTTTGCTGTAAATCACAGTTAATATTATTTTTATTTCCTATGGTTTTTAGTTCAAAAATACAGCTTTATGTCTGGCATGAGAAAGATCTCGTTTAAATCCCCTTGAGCAGAGCCTCATCACATATCCAAATAAAGCACCTCTTCCAAAACAGCTTCTGATCATGAGTTGAAGAGATCAAACAAGAAAATGTCTGTCCCTTTGCACAGTTATTTTTCTCCAGTGTTTAATAATTCTTGTTAAATTCTTCTGCCTTGTGATCTGTCCCCTACACCACAGGTCACCTCCCACAGCTGTCAGTAGGGAATATCCTTCAGGGGCCTTTATTTTGTAACATCCATTTCATAAGCACTATGGCCAAATCAACAAATCAAAAAAAATAATGCTTGTGTCATAAAAAGAGGTGTGTGCTAAGCTCACAATAGCAGCACATCAACTGAGTGTGCTGTCAGCTGCTGGAGACCCCTACAAGGAGTCAGAAAAGGTGTTTGTACTTGGGTTTTCACCAGAGGCAGGACTCTGTGTCCCAGTCCAGCTGCCTCTCAAGGAGCCAGGGCACAGCTCTGATGAAAAGCTCTGTCTGAAGGGACTGTTAAATAAGAAAGCAGGATGAGTCTGACACTCTGACACTGCTGCACACATTTTCCTCTTTTCTGACGGGAACATTCAGCACCATTTGATGCCTTTTGGTAGAGTCTGAATGCTCTTGTCTCACACACAGAAACAGAGGTTTTGTTCAGGCAAGGACTTTGTTCCTTCTGGCCTTGAGGTCATTCAATTTCAGCTAACTGCCTGTATCGGTGTCTGAAACAGAGATGGAAGGAAAATAAATAGCTCAGGCACAGCATGACCTACAGCTCACAATGGACTGGGAAAAAAGGTATTTTCATTATTGCTAGTATTTTGTGTTTTCTCAGTTTTCCCAGAGAAGACCTAGTGCTTATCAGGTGGAGGAACAGACAGACTGCTGATCCAGCACACAGAACATAGAGCTGTTCTTCTGCCATCCAAAAACCCCAGCTAGCAAGGGAAAGCAGCAAGTTCCCTTGGCTGGCTCAGCCCTCATGTCCTCAAAGGACTCAGCTCCCATGGATCTCCACTGCTCTGGAAAGGGTCCCAGTGACTCTGGGTGGTAGCAGAAGCTCTGGCAGCACTGGGTCCCTGCCCTGAGAAACCTCTGTGATGAAACTCATTTCCTGAAGTTCTTATACAGTGCCTTGAACTTACATAAATGGTGGGGTTTTTTTAAAGAACATTAGTGAGCTGCTGGAACTGAGAATAGTGGTGTCACAGCAGGGCACTCATTTCCTACAAAGAAAAATCCATTTCAACAACTAAATAAACAGAAACATTGTTTTCACCATGAAATCAGCAAACCTGCCGCATGTTTCTTGAGAAAGCTGCTTGTTTGCAGATCTTATTACTTGTCTTCTGTATTCTGAGTGAGTTCTGCAAGAGTCAGGACAAGCAAACAGAGGCATTTTGTATCTTACAGTGATGGTCCTTACAGGAAAGTGAGAAGGGATTGCAGAAATAGCCAGGCTAGAACTTGGGAAAGTCAGCAACCAGCCAGGGAGCCACTCCAGATTTCTTCTGCAATTTACAGAGTAGTGTTTGTAGGGAGAATTCATCCTGCAGATCCAAGCCTCACAGATGGAAATGAGGCCCCTTTTCTCCCCTTGAAGTCGGTCCAGACGATTCTGGTGTAAAAACACACTAAAACATTGGAACCTCTCAGTTCGTGACAGATCAAAGAGCACGTGTTGATGGCTTTCCTAATGGCAGGATTAGCACTTATTCCTGCAGCCAGATAACTGCAGGCAGACCCTGCCATCACATCCTCCACGTAACTCCTCTCCCATGCACACGGCATCAGATTTCACCCTGGTTATGACAGGTTTGAGCTCAGTGGAAGAGGATTTGAAGGAAGAGGGTGGTGGGTCCCCCAGTACTGCTGGAAAGCTGCCGGGTTTATGTGAAGGCTTCCAGCACCAGGAGTTTGAGTAACTGCAGAGCAGTGGCTGTACCCTGGTGACAGACCTTGACCCCAGGGGTTCCTCATCTACAACTGCGGTTCTGAAACTCTGACAACAAGGGTGGAACTTTGGGAAAGCTGGGGGTTTTTAAGGTGCAGCAAAAAGCCAGTTAGAAACACAACCATTGTGAACCAAAGCACGAGTAATACAGATGCTGTGCAGATGAAAAAAATCTATCCCTTCACTCCTCATCGAGGCAGCTGTTGCTAGAAAAGATGGAGGACAGCTTCCTGGAGCTCCAGCTAGCCAGCTGCACAGAGATCTCACCACAGCAACATCCAGGTTATGCCCCCTCTGAAACAGGGAGGGACAGCCGGTGCCACCATCCCCAGCATCTCACTGCCCACCCCAGCACTTCCCTCACCTCTGGCAGCTGGCACAAGCTCAGAGCAGACAGCAGGAGGGAATGAGAACTTTCCTTTTTGAATGAATGACTGTTCTTGATACAGGCTGCCTAAACTCTCCATCAGTGCCTGTTGAGTGGTACAGTCATGTTTGTTTCCCAGTTATTGTTTGGGAGGCTGCTGGAAGCATCCATCCAACCCCTGCCACAGGCAGCACAGCGCTGGCATGCTGCATTCAGAGCCTAATACAGCAAATTTTGTACTTCTCCTGCCACTTAGTGGCTGCAGCTGATGCAGCACCACATCCCTGGCTAGAGATTCACCAGAGATACTCTGTGATGTGGAACAGGTTCATATTTCTGTTCAGGTACAGTAAAACCTGAATAGGGACAAAGAGGCATTTAAAAACATTTCACTTATTTCAAACTCTCTGAAACCTGTCAGGGCCCTCACAAATCTCACTCTGCAGGATGAAAGGATGTTAGAAAGATGATTACTCCTGAAGGCCAGATATTTTGTGAAGCAGCAGCTTTAATGTTACTGCTGGCAGTGCAATATGCCTCCATCTCTAGGATTCATAAGGATTCACCATTTCCCACTATAGAATGCAGAGCACCCCCAAGGTCTGGGGATGGTTGGCATCTGATTCTATTGATTCAGAAGGTTGAACAATTGCTTTATTAAACTATACTATATATTAAACTATAACTATACATTATACTATACTATAATAAAAAGATACTATACTACAAGGAATACTAAAGAATACTAAAGAAAACCTGTGACTGTCTCCAGACAGCCAGGACACAGTTTTGAGTGATTGGCCAAGGAAACAAAACAATCCTCAGCAGAATGCAATTAACAAATCACTTCAGGTAAACAATCTTCCTAAGACATTCCACATATGCAAAACAACAGGAGCAGCAAGTAGAAATAAGACTTGTTTTCTCTTCTTCTCTCTGTGCTTCTCCAGGAAAAATCCTGTGAGAGAGAATGATATCTCTTTGTTCAGAGAATGTGAAAGCCACATCCCACTGCCAGGGAGTGCCTTTCTGTTCTGTAGAAAGAGGCGAGGCTGTCACTGCTGCAGCTGACAGGAGCTCCAGGTGTGGCTGTCTGCTCTGTGCCAGGCTGTGGGGAGGGAGCAGGAGCTGTGTGCTCTGTGCCTTCATGCACAGCCTTTCCAGCAGCTGCTGCACTGCCTGTCTGTCACCAGGACACAGACAGGAGCACAGCAGAGGGAGCAGGAGCAGGAGCTGTGTGCTCTGTGCCTTCATGCACAGCCTTTCCAGCAGCATCTGCACCTATCTGTCACCAGGACACAGACAGGAGCACAGGAGAGGGAGCAGGAGCTGTGTGCTCTGTGCCTTTATGAACAGCCTTTCCAGCAGCTGCTGCTCTGCCTGTCTGTCACCAGGACACAGACAGGAGCACAGCAGAGGGAGCAGGAGCTGTGTGCTCTGTGCCTTTATGAACAGCCTTTCCAGCAGCATCTGCACCTATCTGTCACCAGGACACAGACAGGAGCACAGGAGAGGGAGCAGGAGCTGTGTGCTCTGTGCTCTGTGCCTTTATGAACAGCCTTTCCAGCAGCATCTGCACTGCCTATTTGTCACCAGGACACAGACAGGAGCACAGGAGAGGGAGCAGGAGCTGTGTGCTCTGTGCCTTTATGAACAGCCTTTCCAGCAGCTGCTGCACTGCCTGTCTGTCACCAGGACACAGACAGGAGCACAGGAGAGGGAGCAGGAGCAGGAGCACAGCTTTCTGTGCCTTTATGAACAGGCTTTCCAGCAGCTGCTGCTCTGCCTATCTGTCACCAGGACACAGACAGGAGCACAGGGAAAGGCCTTGGATAACCAGGTTTGGGCTTCATTCATTCCTGTCACTGATGCCACCTAGGGAAATAGCCTGCTTTGTCTTTCAGATCCTAGATTGTGTTCTAGGACAAATGCAATCAGGAAAAAAAAATTGTAGTTCAGTTCTGCTTTGATCACCCTCAATCAGAGAAGTGATGGTGGTAGCTGTGCCAGATGCTCTGAGAAGGAATTGAGGGTGTAAACCACGCTGGCTTTCAAGAGGGTTTAGACAGATCTGGATCTTGGAGAATCATTTCCCTGGACTGGCATGGACTTTCAACAAAATGAATGCTAATGAACATGCAGCTAATGAACATGCAGCTCAGTTTTGGGAATGTAAATCAGCTGGCAAAACACCTGCCAAATCAAGTGTCTTATCCTAACGTAATGGGTGACTAAATACACATTCCTGTGCTGGAGATTTAAATAATCCTTCAGAGCACCCTGAGAGTACCAGAGCCTTTGGCAGACAGAGGGAAACCTGCGAAAGAGGATGAACAAGCTGCAGAGACTGGTAAAACATCTATTTTACTATTCTTATTGGCAGATTTTTTTTTTAATTTGAATTTTTATAAGGCTGTGTAATACTGTCGGGTTTGCATAGAATTAATTTTCCAGTTCATGACAGTCCTTGGGATAAAGCTGACAGAGTAAAGGCTCTCCTGGCAGCTGCACACCACCACGGTGGCTGGGAAAACACTGCAGCATTGCAGAAGGCTTGGGAAAGGCACTCTGTAAATGCAGCTGAGCTCTGAGCACAGAGCTGGCCCCTGAAGGGAGAAACAAACCATTCTGCTGCAGCTAAAGATGGTCACTAAAGAGCTCTGTGACACACGACTTGAGAGGGGATGTACTCTATAATGAAAGCAGGGAAATGAGCAGAAGGAGGGGTATTTTCCTAGGCATTGTAAATTAAATGTGCTCTTGTAGGGAGAGGAAACTCACCTGGAGAATGAGGATAATGAGGAATAGCAGAGAGATGAGGTGCCCAATCCTTAGCTCAGTTCTGAGTAACAGAAGAGGGAAGTGGTGTAGCCATGGAAAGTGCAAGTGAAATGTATCTGCTGCTAGCTGGGGCAGGAGAGCTCAGTCTCCTCTTGCTGCAGGCTTGGAATAGTCTGGCTTTATTTCTGTCCTGGAGGACACCCTGTCTCAGGCTGGTATGGAAGTTATTTAGAAGAAAACACTTTGAGGAAAGGGAAAAAAATCCAAGATTATTTGAATTTGTGGTTTTAGAACTATTGTGAGACTAGAGCAAAATTTCCTTTTCTTTGGTGGATGGCTCTGTAAGAAGAAACTGAGCAGGTAAAGCAGAAAGAGATCTTCAGCTTTGGGTTATTTAAGTTCCCAGGGTGACTGGGGTCATATTCATGTAGCAAAACACAATCTGGCCTGAGGTGCCCTGCAGTGGCTGGCAAAGAGCCGAGCCTGAGCATGGGCTCTTTATGTGACACCTGAGCTTTCCCAGTGGGAGGGGTTTTAAAGCAGGGGCTGGCAAAGGCCATCCTGGCCTTGGGTCACCCAGAACATTGTGCAGGAGGTGTCAGGCTAAAGACCAGGGGCCCTCAGCATGCTCAGAGTGGTCTTGAGATGTGAAACAGAGCTCCCAGTCCCAAGACTCCCTCAGGGCACATCTTGCCTGTCACAGGATTTCACCTGCAGATGGGGAAACCAAAGGCACGGGCACAAAATAGTGGAAAAAAGCTGGTTCTGCTGTCAGCCTGCCAGTGAGCTGTCAGCTGCAGAGCTGGGCCAGCCAGGACAGCTTGTTCTGCACCCTTCAAAAAGTCAAGAGCCCTGACTTTTCTACCAGCACTGATCCTGTGATGCCACAGGAGGCAGCCCCTGCCCTGCTCCCCAAGGCTCAGCAGTGCTGTCCCTGGGCAATGTGAGCCAGTGGCAGAACTCGTGCAGGAACGTCCCCAAGGAGACCTGAAGCCACCATCTGCCACGTTTCACCTGTCTCATAATGCTGAATGCAGTTACAGACTGCTAAACATTGCTCTGTAAAAGTGCAGCATCACAGGAAAGACACTCTAATCTAAAATATGTGTTATTATCATGGAGGGATGGAAATAACAGCACACCAAGGAATCCCAAATGCACTGGGTATCCATGGTCATGGGAAAATCCCCCAGCTCAAAGCCTCAGTGTATTTTGAGTCAGTTTATTCTGTACAAGGAACACATCCACTGTCTGTCCCTTTCCTTCAGCTTCAGAACAAGATCCTGATCCTGACAATATGTGCTGCTGGGATTGGAGGCACCTTCCAGTATGGGTACAACATCTCCATCATCAATGCCCCAGCCTCAGTAAGTGCTGCAGCTCTGGGTGCCTGCCCCTGACAGACCCTGGGAGCAGTGGGTGCCACTGGAAATCTGCAGGCTGGTGGTGGGGGCAGAAAGCAAGGATGTGTGGTTCCCTCTGTGTAATTCACATCCAGAGAACAGGACTTTGCTGTCATAAGCCACCCTTGAGCAGGACCTAGTGTCACAAGAGTTTATTCAAAAGCTTTGTTTCAACTGCTTTGGCAAAATTGAATTCTAGAATATTCCAACCTGCATCTTTTGAAGTTGATTTTTGCCCTTAGATTGAAAGTGAGACCCATGACACCAATTTTTAAATGATCAAAAATAACCACATAGAGATATAAACCAACTGCAACTTTTCAACAGCAACAGTTTTATACCCTAAATTCTTTGCTAAAAACACATCTAAGAGCTGGAGGAGATTTGAAACATAAACACAGGATAGATAGATATATTCATAAGAGAGCATTTCTCTGTGTCCTTCCCCTGTCTGGTGGCTCTGCAGCTCTGCCCTCTCTCTCAGTACATCCAGGTGTTCATGAACACGACCTGGCTGGAGCGCATGGGAGTTCCCCTGGACAGCAACATGGTGCTGCTGCTCTGGTCCTTCACTGTCTCTGCCTACCCCCTGGGAGGCCTCACTGGGGCTGTGGCTGCTGGCCCCATGGCCATCATGCTGGGCAGGTAAGAGGTGCTGCAGTTTAAATTAAACTTTGCAGCTTCCCTTAGTCCAAGAGGAGTTAGGATCCCTACAGCAAAATACCCACCGTGGTTAAAAATAATGAATATCTCAAAACTCAATGGGGAACTGTTTTTCCCCCACATTACCTTCTCATCATTCCAGCCCAGCTGAGGGGCTACAAGGATTTCATCTCAGCTCTTTAACACAGAACCCACTCACATAATCTCTGTCATTTTTGTGCACAGTTTTCTGCCAAGCTTTTAAATGGAAAATCATAATGGATGACATAATAATGATATGATATCATAATGGATGATATCATAATGATGTGATATCATCATGGATGATATTATGATTATCATAATGCTAATGGATCAGACTAAGGATTTGTCTTCAAAATAAATTGTGGGAATGGCACTAGAAAAACAGAGGGTGCTTACAAAGAGCAGTGGGTGCATCCCAGCTCCTCATGTCCCACAGGTTGTGTATCCACATTTTGGTCTGAAATATTTCAGGAAGTATTCATTAAATCTCCACTGTGGGATTTTTTCTTCTGTGCTTGAGTCTCTGAAAAGTATCTGTCCTACCTCATGCATCTTTCCTACACAGCTCTATCCCCAGCTCTCTTCAGAAAAAAAAAAACAAAACCAAAAACAAACCAACCAGTTTTACCAACATAAACTACATAAACTAATAGGAAATTAGATTTTGCCTGCCTGTCTCTTGACCCCAAGATTTTCCTTTATCTGCTATCACTTTGGTTTGCTCCTCTTATATGATGAAGGAGACCCCATTATGGTTTGAGGCCCCATGACTTATTGGTTTCATGCTTATGAAGACCTGGAAGGATATGGCTTCCTTAACCCATTACCATTTTTGAGATTTCACCCTGTACTACTTTGGAATAAAATCCTATTCCATCATAAATAAGAGAAACAAAGACAGACTGGTAAGGCAGTGAGCAGCGACTAGAGAGAATTTCTGGCAATAATAACAGTGAGGGTCAATAGAGTTCTCTTTTTCCCCTGGTTTTCAGCAGAAATTTCTCCTGGGACACATGAGAACTTTCTGTCAAAGTTTCACAACAATTACCCTATTACATGAAAAATGCCTGTTTCAACAAATTAGCACTTTCAGACCAAAATGCACATGGCTTGCTGAGGGAATATTCCTCTCCCTTCAAATGGGAGCTGTGTGTGAGCACTCAGCCCTGGGGCTGGGGGAGAACCCGGTGCTGGCCTCAGAGAGCCTGAAGGCAGCACTGCAGGGACACCCTGAGGTGGCACAGGGACCCCTCCTGCAGGGCTGGATTCACCAGGAGGTGCTGGGGGGGCTCCAGCCCCTCTGCAGCTGCCAGCCTTGGCAGGTGCCACCTGCCACAGAAGGGATGTCACCATAGGACATGAAACAGCACCACGTGCACACAATGCTGCTCTCAAGGTGGAAAATCTCAAGTGGATTGGAGGGCGACAGTGCCACCTCTCCAATGACACTGGACAAAGCAACAGTCTAGCAAATCTCTCTTCTTCCATAAAAGAATGCAAAACAATGAGTTATTTACAGAAAATGTGTGAGAAATTTCGTTACAAGAATGTAAACATCTAAGCCTTCCTATAAGGCTTAGAAAATCTTTAAAAATCAGGGTGACAAAGGGGTTTATGCCAGAGCTGATCCTGCCACACATGTGCTCACAACTGTGTTTTCTCTTGGAAGGAAGATGTCCCTGCTGCTGAACAATGGCTTTGTGATCATCGCTGCAGCCTTGTCCGGGTGCAGCCGAATGGCCAAGTCCTTTGAAATGATCATGCTCAGCAGATTTTTTACTGGTGTGAATGCAGGTATGGCAACAGGAGAAATACAGAAGGATGAAGGTGGTAACAATCAGAAGATGTTTAAGTAGGAATGATCCAGGATATTAAAGCAATTAATCCTTTAAGCTGAGCAGACACATGTAAGTGAATTAAGAAGTTGTATATACAGATTTTATACTTTGCTTCTAAGGGCTTTCTTTTGAAGCACACACAGGCAAGGGGGTTTTGTGTACTACACATAAGCATCTCTGTGCATGGGGAAAATTTGAGCTGAAAATGGATCCCTATCTGCTTGTGAGAATGTCAGTCACTCACCAGCATGAGCACCAACACAAAAGCTTTTGTAGAAGTTCATCCCAGGAAATGATCAATATAAGGGACTTAAAATATTATATTCCCCTCAAAAAGGGGAAGTTGAGGAAAACGCTGCATATAACCTTGGATTTGGTGCTGAAAAGACCACAGGGCTGAGGCCCTGACAGGTTTCAGTTTCATTATCCACTGCTACTGATGAATATTGAAATGTGTGTTTAGTTACACAAGGACAGGGTGAAATGGAGGGTTTGGGTGAATCAGGAGCACTGGTAGATTAGTTATCACATGGCCTGCAACAGAAAAGTGCAGCTGGCAACCTCCAGAGGTGCTGCCTGCATTTATTCTTGTCTCCTCTGCCCACAAGCTGAGGTCAGCATTTGTCTGCCTTGCCCAGGTGTGAGCATGAACATTCAGCCCATGTACCTGGCAGAGAGCGCCCCAAAGAAGCTCAGAGGAGCTGTGGCCTTGACCTCTGCATCATTTACAGCCCTGGGGCTGGTGCTGGGGCAGGTTGTTGGACTCAGGTAAGGTAAAGCAAGCAGCCCCTTCCCTTCCCTTCCCTTCCCTTCCCTTCCCTTCCCTTCCCTTCCCTTCCCTTCCCTTCCCTTCCCTTCCCTTCCCTTCCCTTCCCTTCCCTTCCCTTCCCTTCCCTTCCCTTCCCTTCCCTTCCCTTCCCTTCCCTTCCCTTCCCTTCCCCCCAGGAAAAATCCTGCGTAAATTGTGTTTGTTTTTCTCCAGGGAGCTCCTGGGAGGGGAGGAGAGCTGGCCATTCCTTTTAGCAAGCAATGTGGTTCCTGCCCTGATCCAGCTCACAGCTCTGCCTTGGTTCCCTGAAAGTCCCAGATATCTCTTGATTGACCGTGGAGACAAAGAATCCTGCATCTCTGGTGAGTTTAGGGTGACTGTTAGCTCATGGGAACATGTGAGACTTGGGCCCCAACATTTTTGGAATGGTGTCACAAATTTTACATGTAGGAAGGTTCATATCAAGTAGTAAATGTGATCACTTCCTCCTTTCAAACTAAAGAACATTCTATAATCTTAAATATATTTCATCTATTGAGGTAATTGAAAGGCATCTTCCTACAATAGGCTTATTTGCTACAGTAATAGGGTCAAAAGGTAAGACTTGTGTTCACAATGGCAAATGTTTTGTAACTATGTAGTGAAATAAATGCTGGTTGAAGAGCTCAGGATCAAATCTGAAGCCAATTCATATTAAAGGATTTAGTTAGATTTGTGGCATACAAATCCTCATATGCAGAGTGGCTGGAGTTATTTCGTGGGAAATATGTGCTGTGTACCAAGAACATCTTAATTGCCTGCATTCCCCAGGGAAGGCACTTGAGATCTGAGTCAGAAGCACAGCTGCTAAAATGGCACTGTTGGGAAATACTCAATTGTCGCAGACATCTTTCATGCAAAATCCTTTCTTAGGATTTTTCCTTGTGAGAAGCTGCAGTTTCAGCAACCAAAAGTAAACAATGGTTATCTGCTGCTGCAGAATGCAACAGGTAGACCTGGGATTGGTCTCCTGTGGATGTTTGGATTTCCTGACCACTCATAGCAGAGCTGGCTCTTGCTCTCTGTCTGAGACACAGATCTTTGTTATTCATTTCTTTTCTATTCTTAGCTTAGCTAGCTTCTGAAGAAACCTTTTCCTTTCTATTTCTTTTTAGTATAGTCTTAATGTAGCATATATCATAAAATAATAAATCAAGCCTTCTGATCATAGAGTCAACATTCTCATCTCTTCTTCATCCTGAAAACCCTTGTGGCCATGGTCACACTCAATTGTCAAACAATGGTGAGGGACTTGCACTCCCTTTTCCCCAAAGCTTTCAAGTGGCTGTACCAGAGCTGATGAGCTCTGTGAAGGTCCCAGCACAATCACAGGCTCTGTCCTGCAGCTTTCTGCAGCCATCACCTGCTGCTCCATCCCTCACCCTGCAGAGCAGCCAACTGAAGAGCAAACCCAGGACTAAAAGGTTCCCTTGTCCTTGTAGCACTGCAGAAGCTCAGAGGCACCAGTGACCTGAGTGCAGAGCTGGAAGAGATGCTGGCAGAGCAGGCTGCAGTGAAAGGCCAGAGAGCAAAGAACCCGTGGGAGCTGTTCCAGAACCCAGGGCTGCGCTGGCAGCTGGTGAGCATCGTGGTGCTGAGCAGCGCCATGCAGCTCTGCGGCAACGACTCGGTGAGCAGCCTGGGGGCCTGGCATGGGCCTGGCTTGGGCCTGGCAGTTCTTGGGCTCAACATTCTGGCAGCAGGAGGGGAATGAGTGGTGTCTCTCTGCCGGGGGAGATCTTCACATGTCAGGTGTTGTAGGAGCGTCGGGGGTAGGACGGTGGGGACGGACGGAGACCAGAGATCTCTGGAGGCAGGTCAGGAACTTGGGGTTCATTGCAAAGGGCCTGGGGGCAGGGCCCTGCTGGGAGCTGCCAGGCACAGCTGGAGCAGGGCTGAGAGAAGAGAGGGGCAGAGAGGATGAGAGGGGAAGAGAGTAAAAGGGTAAGAGAGTGAGGTTCCCATTACAATACAATAAATCTTCTCCTGTGCTGAATATTGTGATTCTCACTGACCAATCTAGTACAAGATACAAATCCTACAGCATTTCCATACAGCCTGTAAGAATCACTACATTACCATACTGTGCTACATTTTAAACCCTAAAATCTCCTCTTTGGGCCCCTTCTGCCAAGCTATAGGGTCTGCTCTGACCCTTGGAGCTGCCTGCAAGCAGAGGGTGTTGTTCCATCAAAAGGGGATCACCTTCAGCTGGCCATGCCATTGTTTTCCAGTTGTTCAGTAACTGAGGGATCTCAAAGCTTGCTTTCATTTCAGTCTCTTTTACAGTTTCCATATTCTCAAAATCTTTTGCCAGACAATCATATTTATAAGGCTTTCCTGTTCCATCTTCCCCAACAAGGTGTTTGGTTCCCAAAATACACATATGCATTATGGGAGAATTCAAAAGGATGCTGAATGGTGGCCTGTGTGGTCACTCTGCATGATCCTTCAGGAACAACAATGGGATGTATTTTCAGATGTCTTCCCTTACTGCTTTCTCCTTTCTTCTCTTCACAGATGTATTTTTATGCAGCTTATGTGTTCCAAGAGGCTGGAATTCCTGAGGACAAAATCCCCTATGTTGTAATTGGCACGGGAAGCTGTGAGCTGATCACATCTGTCACTTGTGTGAGACTCTCAGTGCACTCTGCTGACTGCAGCCTCTGCTGGCAGGGAGGAGGCTGTTAATTACAAACTTGGGGTTTCCATTTATTTTCATGCCAAGGAAGCCCTTTGGGCACAGGAGTCAGGCTGTCTGTCAGCACCCCCAGCCAGATGGGTTAATGCAGAGCTATTTGGTCAGACATTGCATTGCCATCACTGTCTGAAATCTCTAACAAGTAACTCTCTTGCTTTGCGTTCATATGGATGGTGGCAGAGTTTAGGTGCAGCTGGGACATTCTCATCTCCCCTGAGCACCCTTCTTGCCTGACTCCTGCCACCAGAACTTTCTTTTGAAGCAGAAAACATCCTGAAAGTTATTGTAGAGCGAACTAGGCATGGAGTATTGAAAGGTAAAGAGGAAAGAGGCAGGAAATATAAATCCAGGTTAAATATCTTGCTTTATTTCCCTGTGTCACTCTGTGCAGAACATGATCATAGACTATGCTGGTCGGAGGCCGCTGCTGCTGGGGGGATACATCTTCATGGCAGCCTGGGCCATTGTCTTCATGGTCGCTCTGAGCCAGCAGGTAACAAACTTTCCTCAATTATTGAAGTGGAGTGGAGTTGGGCTTTGCCTTTTATATGACTGGGGTGTTCAGTGGTGGCAAATAAGTGCCCTCACTGGTTTTCCATTGGTCTCTGTGGCTGTAGACTCAGATTAGCTGGATGCCTTATCTCAGCATGGCCTGCATTTTCGCCTATATCCTGAGCTTTGGAATCGGACCAGGTCAGTTCCCTCAGTGTTTTCAGTGAAACTTTTGGGGTTTGGAGATGTGTGTAGGCATCTTATGGAAACTCTCAGGCCCTCTTTAGCTGCAGCATGCTCCAAGGAACGAGGCAGTTTCTGCAGGTGCTGTGTGGCTGCGTCACAGGGGTCGGTGCCCCTGGTCAGTCAGTGCTGTGCAGGGCCAGGCTGTGCCTGTTTCTCTCTGTGTCATATTCCCCCTCAGTCATCCTGGCTATTAGGCCAAGGCACTTGGAAGTGATTCTTGGCTTAAATAGATGACAAGCTTTTGATTTGCTGCCCAGTCCATTAGGTCTGTAAACCAGAATTTCTAATGCTTCACTTTAATCCTAGAAATTGTTGGCTATGCCATCTGATTATTTTCTTGCAGATACAATTTCCACATGTATCTGTTAGCCTATTAATGTGCCCTTCTGTGGCAGAATACACCAGTTTCTGGGGGTGGGCAATACACAGGATGTTGTGGGGTTTTGCATGGTGAATATAGAGATGTGAAACTCTGTTTGCTCACATGAGTTTGAAAGAAAGCAGGTAAGAATAGAACCAAGCTGCCAGTGTCACATGCCACACAAGTTGGCAATAATTTCTTGTCCCAGTCCCTACAGTGCCATGGAGTTGAATTAATTATAAGCCTTTCTCACCGTTGGGTCCTGGTAAGAATAATGTGGATTACAAAATCTTTCCTGGCAGTTCATTCTAACATGAGAAAGTCTGAATAATTACCCAGTCCCTTAATATTTAACCTAAAAATTCACCTCTCACACTTCATGTTGTGTTTTCTTGTTAAGATGTGTTCTGTTGTTTTTAATGCAATGTCAACAACATTATTAACTTTCCTGCCATTTCTTTTTCCAGCTGGTGTAACTGGAGTTCTGCCCACAGAGGTTTTTGATCAAATGTCCCGACCAGCTGCTTACATGATCTGTGGCTCCCTGCTCTGGTTCAACCTGTTTCTGGTGGGAACAGCCTTTCCCTTCATTGTGGTGCGTTCCCAAAGCAAAGCAGCTCTGTAGTGCCCTGTGCAAGAGAGAGGCTCTGGTAGTGACCAGGGAAAGAGAATATTGCAAGCAGCAAGATAGCACTTCTTTGGAAAGTATCCTTATGAGGAGAGTGGCCAGAACTCCTTCAAACCAAACTTTCTCCATGTTTCCTATGGTGGTTTCTGATTTGAGGTTGGGAGTGGAATCATTTGAGGGATGGATGATCAATATTCCTCGTCTGTCCTCAGTTGAGAACAGCTGGAACAGAAGATGTGATGTCATTTCCCTTTGCCAGACCCTGGCTCTATTCCTTAAGATGATTCCTGAAGCGAGAGGGAGCAGAATTCCACAATACACATTCCTGTCTTATTTCCTACTGAGGGCTCCCATGCCACACAATTATAGATAGGGAGAAAGAGAGAAAAAGACATTTTAAAATACTGTTCTTGCCATGTCAAATTTCTCAGTGTATGTTGGGGAGCTCTTGCATCCAGGCATGTGAGGCTCTCACCAGGATTCACAGCAATACTCCCTGGGTGACTTTAGACCATGCAGGAAGAGGGATTAGTGGCCTTTTTGTCATCATACAGAATGTCACCAACACTGTCTTGTTTTTTCCTCCTCCTCAGAAAAGCCTAGCACATTTCTGCTACATCCCATTCCTTGTGGTCTGTGTCTGCACTGCCCTCTACGTTTGGTTTTTCCTTCCTGAGACAAAGGGAAAATCCTTCCTGGAAATCTCGGAGGAGTTCAGGAAACGGAACTTCAAAGCTAAGACCCGTGGAGGTTTCTATAAAGGCCCTGAGGAGATCAAAACCACCCCACTGTAGCAGAAGAAAGGAAGATGGTGTCTGGGGGAATTCTGCAGTGAATTCAGCAGTGGCTATGTGCCCTTGCAGGGACACAAAGAGAGAAGTTAGGGACAATATATTACTCTTAGGTTTTTAAGTTCACCTTGAAAACATACACTTGAATTGATAAATCCAAGCAAAAGTTCAAGAATCTGTTCTCAGCTTTTAGTACTGAGTAACACATGCATATTTTAGAATCCATATCAGAGTGATGGAATGATGCCTTATTGTCTTATCATCATACAACACCATGTAATGCTTTAGGAAACTTCTTCAGAATTTCTCCAAACAGTAACTTCCATCTCAGAAGTCCTTCTTTCCTTGCCCCTGAATCTGGGCTTTCTAACACAGAAATTAATGCGATTAAATTCTGTTTTCAGACACCAGATGAAATTTTCAGTAGCTTGTCTTGGTGCTCCCGTTGTTTCTGTTATTAAGTGATTTCAAATAGACCCCTACTTGTTAAGCAATAGTGAGCAGTTAATTATTTTCAGCTATAAAAACATGTGACAGATGGATTAGAAAGAAAGCTTCTAGTACTTGCTAAGTGGCTTATTATACAACAGACTTTTGGGCATTGTTTAGCAGACTATTTATTCTGGACTGGTTTTCTTCATAGCTTGTTTGTTGTCTTCCAGTCCCATGTTGTAAAGCACAAGTAATTCTCTGGTCCAGTTTGTTCTGCTCCCATGGACACTGCTGGTGCATCTTGTAGGGTTCTGCACCTGTGCTCTGCTGATGTCAAACATGGTGAGGAGCATGGAAGCAGCTTCTTTTGGATGTGCATCTCCAGGTCACACCACAATGTTCTCTGCAGCTTCTCCATAGAGCTCATTGGCAAAACCCCAGATGTGAGATTGATTCTTTTCAGTTAGCCTGGTACAGAACAGGGCAGCACTCCTCACTGAACATGGCTTTTCACAGGTACTGGCCTGACTGTTAAGTTTCTCCCAGTTTCTTCTCAAAGTCATAATCTCATAAGTCTCAAGCCACTTCTTTTCTTCTGCCTTTGTATGAAAGGCACAGCCCTGCTCATGTTTACAACGAAGAAGAACACATACAATTTCAAAATAAGTAGGTAAAGTTTCTTTCAGTGTATTTTTGAACTACATTTTAAAGAAAAATGCAGCATTTTTGAATAAAAAGACTGTAAACGTTTCTGGAGTGTATTAGTGTCATGCTGGGCATGAGTGGAGCAGCAGGTCTGTTTCTCAGAAGAGGAGGCTGTGCAAGAACTCATTTGTGGTGGTGGTCCCAGGATGAGGGAAGAGATGAGAACCTTGACTCCATGTTTCAGAAGGCTGATTTATTATTTTATGATATATATTATATTAAAAGAAAATGATCTATTATTACTATACTAAAAGAATAAAGGATTTCATCAGAAGGCTTGAAAGGAATAGAAAGGAATGATAATAAAATCTTGTGACTGACCAGAGAGTCTGAGACAACTGGACTGTGATTGGCCATTAATGAAAAACAACCACATGAGACCAATCCCAGATGCACCTGTTGCATTCCACAGCAGCAGATAATTATTGTTTACATTTCATTTCTGAGGCCTCTCAGCTTCTTAGGAGAAAAGATCCTAACAAAAGGGTTTTTCAGAAAATATGTCCATGACACTCTTTCACTACTCGAAGTTTCTAATGTATGAAAAAAAAAGAAACATTTTTTCTTTGTGGTTGTTGCTATTTTAGAAGTCATTAATATATAGACATGGGCAAGAGCAGCTACCTCTGCTCTTGGAAAACACCGAGATTTTGAAGTATGCAGGATTTTGAGACAAGACAATCAAGAGCAGGACTCCACAGAACTGGGAACTGAAGGGATACTTTTCATTACTATGGTTTGCAGAGAGCAGTGAGGAGCAGATGGAAAGAGTGAAAAACAAAATGAAAGCAAAAAGTGCCACTACCATCATGATGGTGGCAAAATATTCTGTAATTCCTTTGGTGAGGACCAGAGGAAGGCCAAGAGACAGAAGTGAAGCAAAGAGTGAAGAAGGGAAGTGGATCAGGGGGGAGCATGCAGGGTAGGAAGCAGGGATGGACTGAGGAGGCTGCCTGGGCAGAGGGAGAGGAGCATAAAGGTCAGAAAAAGAGAAGTCCCCCAGTGTCCAGAGTGTCCAGAGGTCCTGCCCTTGGCCACTGCTGTGAGTCAGGACTGTGCCTTTCCCAGAGCCCTGCAAGGACAGGGGCCATCTGCACCTGGCAGTAGGAAACAGGCTTGGTCTGAAATGATACACATTGACACATTTACTCAGCTTCCTGACTTTTAGAGCCAGTCCTGCGAGTACATGTGGCAGAAAACATTAATTCCAACTTCCAGCATTTTTTTCTGACTGTGGCCTGAAATCAGGGGTCTATAAACTGATTAAGCAAACACAAACAGTGGTCACATTTCAGTTGGTCTAAGTTGTTAAATTTTAATTGAAGCATTTAACAAGTTGGTTAATTGATACTGAATTAAAACACCTTCAACTGAGAAATCTATGACACTTGTTCACATTTTTCTTATATAAATTGTTAGGCAAAACCACATCTTGAAAAGTGATCCTTAGAGACTCACAGCTGATATTACTGTTAGCAAATCAAATAATTGTGCACTGTGGGATTGAATAATAACCAACAATACTAGGGAAAACTATTACTGCTACTGTGCTCAAGCACTGCTCCTCTGCACAAGCCAGCACTCACTTGCAACCAGCTGGTGTTGGGGCTCTTCCAAGGACCCACAGCATCCTAGCCTGGGGAACCACCAAGGGCAGCCACTCACCAGAAGGAATTCCCCCCTAATCTGTTGGAATAACTTGTAAAAGCCTTTAACAGAACCATCTTGGACACTGCCCTTCAAAAATTATGGATAAAATTAAAGATTTTACAGTCAGGATTTCAAACTTTCATTAAACTTTCCTAGCATGTGCCATATACTACAAGGATACAGATTTGAACTTTCAGCCAATGGCCATTACTCTTAAAGAGTCAATTATCAGTCAGCTGATAACAGCTGGATGCACAGGCCAAGCAGGGCTTCAAAGGCTTTTCTGGGTTGAGGCTCAAGGTAGCAGTCAGGAGCTTTTCCTGTGGATGTGATCACTGATTACCCAGCCTATGGCCTGGGCAGTCCAAGCCAGCCCACTCCAGTTTGCACCAGTCCCTGGACTTTGGCTTCCATCAGTGCTTCCTCCTTGTCCTTTACTCATCTCCTGCAGCTCCTCCTGTCCCCAGCTGCTGCCAGAGCACCCCCAGAGCCCTGGCAGGAGCACAGAGAGCCCCAGCTCTCCTCAGCAGGAGCACACAGCTCCCCAGCTCTCCTCAGCTGCATCAGTGACCAACACAACAACCACACAGCAAGAAGTTCAGAAAAACCAAAGGGAGCACTAACAGTGTGAAAGAACAAAATTGTTGCAATTAGGTAGAAAAATCATAGAGAAAGTCTTCATAAAATCAAGCCTGCTCTGCTGGAATCAGTGGCTGGCCTTGTCAAAGCCAGCATTTTGCAAGCTCCCATGTGAAAGCAGTCCTGTTGTGAGCAATTTGTTAACATAACAATCTATTCCTGGGTGAAAAAAATAACTTACACCTGCATAAACTGGTTTTGCACAGTTAGATAGAAAAATGAAAACTGTCTTTCACAAACAACTCTCCCTGCATGCAGACATCATCAATATTGACCAATCAATAGAGAATAACAACTTGTTACTAACCAATAAAGTAATTAGCAAGAAAACTACTAACCAATTGGAGTCCCACATGAAGTCTGTAAAAATGTATAAAAAGGAGTTATGTGAATAAAGAATGGCCTTTTTCCACCATGAAGAAAATGGAGTCCCATGTGATTTATTCCCATACAAAGTGATGTGTTGAACTATTATCTCAGGCTCCTCTTTCTCTATATAAAAAGGAACTTTTTCCACAGTAGCCAAAGAAAGCATCAGGAAAGACCTAGCCTGCAAGTGGGGGTGACTACCTTTGCATGCAAGTTGGTGTGAAGAGGTTTGATGCCCATTCAAGCAATGACATTGCCCTGATTAGAAACTGGCTTGTGCGTGCTTGGCAGCCATGGTTTGAATATGAAATATTCCAGGCACAGAGGTGCAGCATCACTCTCCTGTTGCTGGCCAGAATAACCCCAGGAACAGGGAGCAGTGGCAGTGGGAGGGGTTGAGGTGCATCTGTTGCAGTCCTGGATTCTTACACCTCCTATCAGAGAGTTCTAAGAAAAGGTGAATTAACTATGGAAGCAGGAATCCCTTCAATCCCCAAATGTTTATTTAGTCTCAGCCAAGTCACTGAACAAAATATCCATTTAGGTGAGATAACAAGTAGGAAAGGAGGAGGAGAAAGGACAAATAGATGGAATTGTTCACAAAATGCTTTTGCACATTGCACTATGCTCCCACAACTATGACAGTGCAGATTAAGATGGCAAAAGCTGAAGGCTGGAGCAGTGAAGTGTGTAACTGGATTCTGGGAGGCATCTGTGAGCTTTGCCTCTCCTCAGCATTCTCACTGCCCTGTGCTTCAGTAGCTGTGCTTTCCTATTGCTCCTTGGTCTCAGAGGGGGCAGCTGGGTGGCATTGCTCAGACTGTTGGAGCTCCCAAGGAAAATACAGCACATTTGGAGGCATGTCTGGATAGCTCTACCTATTTGTTTGCTGCTTTGATTTCCTGCAAGAAAATGAGCTGCAACCTTTTTCTCCTGGCTTTTGTCCTGGGCATGACTGGAACCTTCCACTATGGATTGCAGGTCTCCATTATCAATTCTCCTGCTGAGGTAAGCATGGAGAGCTCAAAGAGTGAGCTACCAGTATTCCACTGTTCTCAGGCATTCATGCCTCTATTTGCAATGGCTTTTTACTTGTGCCTTCAAAATGAGACTTATCATGGTTTCTTAGTTCTAAGAGTAGCTGCTACTGCTCTTGTGATTCGTGAGGTTTGAACTTCTGTCTGATCTGACAGAACTGGGAAGGGGAAGGGTGAATAATACCCATAAAAGTCAGCTATTTCCCCTTTTCTGAGTGGAATTGCTCCCAGGGCATTCTCCTCTCTCCATCACTCAGGGAGTCCCTTGTACCATGTGCTTGGCCACCCACAGTATTTCCAAGTGGCTGTAAGGTGAAATAGGGCAGGGAAGGAGTGTAGCTCTAGAGCTGAGGTCAGCACTCCTACCTGCAGCTGGGAAAAGGAAAACTGGGGATGGTGTTTGTCATCCTGGATGGCACCAAGGACAGTGAGCTCATACTATCACCACAGATGAGTGGAAAAGATCAGGGAGAGAAAAAATCTGGGTTTAACACAGAAACAGAAGACCAGCCTACTATTCCCTTACTGGAACTCACAACTTATATTTAATACTGATATATTTATTCATTGGATCTCATTGCTAAAATATCAGCTCCAGGGATGGTAATGGCAAAATTCCTGTTGGGGCTAAGATTTCAACCAAGGTTATTGATAGAAATGTATCAAAAAGACCAATAAGCAGGTAAGAGAATTAAAAAAGCAGTGCAATTATGCAAAAACATGTTGACTGAGTCCATTGTTTGGTTTTTTCTTTTAAAGTACATCCAAAGTTTCATCCATGAGACCTGGCTGAAGAGATATGGCTCCTCTCCCAGTGCAGAGATGGTCACTTTGATGTGGTCCCTCATTGTGTCCATCTACAGCATTGGGGGGCTCCTGGGCTCCTCCTGTGCTGGCTACTTGTGTGTTCGGTTTGGAAGGTAGGCAGAGTTACACCAGCCCTTCTGTTCACAGCCACTACTGCAGAAAAAGGAACTGGAGGAACACTGCTAGAATGTGGCACTGGGAGCAGCCCAGGGTTTCCTATTAAAGGCCAGTATAGTGAAGGAACAGCATGGAAAGTCTGCCAGTGATCACAAGGAAAATCACACCCTCTCCCTTATAAAGTCCAAAGCAAATCCAGTCCAGGGAAGTCATACAAGAAGTTTTAAAGAGAATTTCAGAGACAACCACTCACAAAGCTCCATAAGATATTGACTCCTCTAGAGGCATCAAAACCTTCAACTAACTGATCAGTCTGTGACAAGTTTCCCTGTCACAGACATCTTTTATGAAAAATCCTTTCCTTGGGATTTTTCCTCCTGAGAAGCTGAGAGGCCTCAGGAACAAAATATAAACATTGATTATCTG